TCTCTCTCTCTCTCTCTCTCTCTCTCGTCTCTCTCTCTCTCTCTCTCTCTCTCTCTCTCTCTCTCTCTCTCTCTCTTTCTCTCTCTCTCGCTCACGCAGCCACTGCCGGGTCATACGCATGTCGACAGCAGGCAGCAGCAGGCCAGCCCGGGCAAAGCAGATACACCACCGATGACAGAATCGATACACGAGTTCACTCGGTTATCAGCCTCCTCTCCCTCCTCCATACGCTGCTGCAGCATAGATTCATGGCGGCTGACTGCAGCGTTGATCCGCCTATAGGGGGAATGGGTCGCGAATCTTAAACACCGGTTTAAAAATCTGGCCTGGGCTGAGCAGTGACTGTGTATTGTTGTCTGTGACTGTGTCGTTGTGACTCTCCATGGGTGTGGGTGTGTGTCAGTGTCTGCGATGGTGTTTCGGTGTTTTCGGGGGTATATATATCCGTGTCTGTGGAACAGTGGGAGTATATCGGTGTATCTGTGGGTGTTTCTGCAGGTGTATCGGTGTCTGAATGGGCTTATTGGTCTCTCTGTGTGGGTACATCGGTGCCTCGGGGACTGTGTCAGTGTTTGATTAGGTTTATAAGTGTCTGCGTGGGTCTGTAGATCGTTGTCTACGTGGCTTCATCGTGTGTTGGCATCATCTGCTGATGCTCGGATGTAATCTCTCGTGCGATGCTCAGTGTCTGCACTCAGCTGCTAGAGGGCAGTGTTCAACACCCGTCTATATACCATGCGGCAGCGTACCCGCGAATATATGTTGTGATTCTTGCATGAAAAAAATTCACATACCTCCCAGCGTAAATGCTTTGGTATTCACTTAGCACGCGGTAAAGTATTTATTACGCGCGGTAAAGGACAGCAACGTATATAGAGAGCGTTGTGGGTTGGGGGAGATGGGAGAGGTGTTAAGAAGCGTGCTTAGAACTTGACAGCAAGTGTATGCATTCTAATCATGATTGAGATTGATGTACGCGTGTAGACTGACCCCGTACGTCGTTGAGAATCAATATTCGAGGCAAGGATGACGGCAGCTGGGGACGTGGAGTCGGTCTAGCGTGTATTCACGTTCGAGTGAATCTGTAAGGGAGGAATATCTCGATAACGGAGTTTCTATCACTGAGTCTGTGAGAGATTCATTCTATTCCCCCATCTCCCCAGCCTCCAGATTATTCCTTTTTAAGTTCATCGGCGGTAATCTCTTTGTTCGCTCCTTAGTAGTTTCGGAAGTCTGCCTGCCGCTAGGCGCCACGTTCACGTGGTAGGTGCGCCAGATGGTAGCAATATGCGTGTAAGGACAGTACTGTGTACGGCAGAACGAATGAACGAATGCATCTAGGCCCTATACGTCCGCTGACTGTAAAACGCACTCTTCTACTTGAAAACCTCTCAGAATGTGGCTCGCACATTTCCGTGGAAGTCAAGTCGTCGACTGTTCTAACTGTGCTTGTAGACTGATTCCGATATTCTTGGCTTCTCTGCCGACCGATCTGCTTTCTTGCCTGGATTCTGAACGACTGTCAGTGAGATCTTTTAGTAGAACTGTCCGTCTTCGCTGTGTCATCGGTAACTTTTACGAGGGATACATCATACTTGCATACGTCCACTCTACATTAACCCGAAACATGGTGTGAAAGTTATACGAGTGAGTGAACTGAAAATAACCTCCACTCACGTAGACTGGTGTTGCACATTCCATCTTCCCATCCACGGGGGGTTCGAATCTTGCATTCATTCACGGATAAGTGTTGGGGCATAAAATCTGGGTGCGTGCGCAAAAACGGTGGCGTGGAAAGGCGAACATGAGTACATTTGCTGTGTTACTAATGCGTGGTTAATAGGCTGCCCTTCACCCCACCACCCCCATCGTAACCCTTTTACTTCCACATCTGGTATTCTCAGAGCTTCGTGCCAGTTTCTTCACATATGGGCTTAATGATGAAAAACCTCCTCTCGTACTTCTATTAAAATTCCCTATATTTTATTTTAAGTGCCCTAACTTAGTGACAACCTCTAGAACAGTGGCTCTTAACATTTTTTGAGTCATGGACCACTTTGAGAATCTGGTAAAAGCTACGGACCCCTCCCCAGAAAAATGCACACGAACACAGTTTTTATGCGCCTGGTTCACGGACCCCTGAAGCCCATCCACGGACCCCAAAGTGGTCCATGGACCACGGGTTAAGAACCCCTGCTCTAGAATTATCTTTCTGTTGACCCAGTAATTTGTCTGAACCGGGTAGTTATAATGAATTCATAATGATTTAATCAAACATAATAAATGGCAGAATGCCGTATACAGGTGTTCATAATTGTACGTATAAACCTAATAGAAGAGGTTTCCGTTTGCGTAGGTATTCTATAGGTGTGACATACAGCAAATAGAACAATCCTAATTTACAGAAGTTAGGTGTAATCCGGGAGCTTTGCTCCTGTGTTTTTATCGCTTAATTGAACCTGGATCATTTAGACGGACTCGACGAGTCGTTGTTGGCATCACTCCATTGTCGTCGCTGACACGAGAACGTTGGAAGTCAGTCTGTATAGCACTCGTGAGCAGCGCGAAGTCCTTTCCCTCAAGGACAGTGGTGGCAAACGCATTGACTGTTTGCATTTAGATGGCAAACCTCTGTAGACGTGCGAGAAAAAACCTGGAAGGGTGAGATTCGAACTGGTTCTCCTCAATTATCATTTCCTGTTGCCCCGGCAACCCCGAGCCTGGGCGGGACAATTGAATCGTCTGTGGTGGCATGCGTTTACGACGCTGGCAAACATCAAATAGCGTCCAATATTCGCATATTTGCAGTAATTAGAGGGAGGGGGCAAGGCGAGCGAGCGGACGCAATGCGTCTACTGCGCGTCCACGAAAGTAACATCATCGACATCACACACACACATATCGCTGGCTATCTTCTCATCCTATCCTCTCCTTGCTGTGTCTAGCAGTGCGAGAAATGGTCATTTAAACTAATTGGTCACTTTTGCGTAGCTTTTGTGTCGTGACGGACGGCAACACAGTTGCACAGGTGTTCGGCGACGTAGACCTCCCCTTCCCCCCATTCAAACAGATGTGTTTCGTGGGACAGTTGGTGTACCTGTAGCACTCCTCCTGCATCATGCCTGTAGTTAGCTCTAGAACTATAGTCCTTCGCTCTGCCACAGGCTGTAGTTCCAGAGCTATCCTGCTTCATGCATGTAGTCTGTGCACATGCTACCGTGAGTGGTGGCGATGTTTTGGCCAGCAGAGAGGCTGAGAGGGCGTTGTGCAGGCATGTGTGTGCAGTATCGTTGTAGGTAATGTATCTGATCATCAGGCGCTATGTAATATCAAGAGCGTATAAAGAAGTTATTCTTTATACGCTCTTGGTAATATCAGGAGTCTATCAGTAGATCAATATTGATAAGACTCCTGGTAATATGTATGATCATATCTTCAGCAGTTATATAGCTGCTGGTCCCTCCCGGCTGATGCGTGCCAGAATCACACATATTCTGCCCCTCCTCTCCCCCTCTTGCCATTGTGCTTTCTTTCTTCTTCAGCTTCTCCTTCTCGCTGTCTACCTCCTTCCCTCACACACACACACACACACACACACACGCACGCACACACGCACGCACGCACGCACGCACACACACACACACACACACACTGTAACTTGCTTCGGTTCTCGCTCTCGCTCTCTCTCTCTCTC